TAACCGCAGTTTATCAACACGATTGTTTTTAAAAAAAACCATTCCCAGGAATGTTTGTTTGCCAAGTCTTGCAAATAAAAGGGTATTTAAAAAAAAGTTTTAATTTTGGTTTATGATGAAATTAGGTTACCAGATTACAAACGTCAAGGGAATTTGGTTCAAGATCGTATCTTTAGCAATACTGAGCTGCAGTATTGCCAAAGATACGGTCTTTCGTACCGTTATTGTAATCACTCAGGAATTTTTTTGAACTTCATTTTTTTTTACTTATATTTTTTAGGTACAAGCAAACGTTTGCATCAAAATTAATATTTTGAATTTTTACTCTAAATGCTTCCTTCGGTACAGGGCATTGTTTCACAAACTTGAAAAAGCTATCCTTTTATTTGCAAGACTACTTGACAAACTCAAACTCTCAGTCAATGTATGCACACTTACTGCACTTATACCTTTTAATTTCAATTGATTTATGTACACTCAACTACGCTTATTCCTATTTAACCCAATACACAGTGGGTCAGGGGGTGGACAAAAGTAAAAAAAAATACATTCTCTAAAATTATATTATTACATCCCATTTTATAGCTTAAACTTTTCTAAAATGTATATATTTTTGTATAATTATCATATAATTTATATTTTTAATTTATATTTTTGTATATTATGCTTCTAAACTATAGAATAAAAAGCTTTTTTTTTTTTTTTAAATTTTCTAAATTTTTTTTTTTTAATTTGATAGTATTTTTTATGTTACTAATAAGCATGGAATAGATGTTAACTTTAAAACCTAACTTTTTATTGCATAATTTAACAAAATCAAGTATTATCTTTCAAATGAGCTATTACAACACTATTTGCATGTAATTTATGTCAAATAAAATGGTTTCAAATGACGGAAACTTTGATGTACTTTTTTTAGTTAAAATTTGACTCATATAGTCGAATACTTTTGCGGTCCTAAGCAGTCCAGTAATTTGAAACTTGAAATACATTTTTTAACATGCATATTATCAATATAAATTTGTTTCATAATCCGCGGATGTCCGCCTGGTCCTTATCAATGATTTTTGCAAGTTAATCGGTGAAAAAAAGGAAGCTAGTTGATGCAAGGCGTTTTTAAAACGTCTAAAACACGTAATACTACGTATTTAATATGTCTTTGACGCTTTTTTTAACCATAAGTAGTGACTAGCTAGTTGCTAGCTCATCTCCCACAGAGTAAATGATGTAGCCGATTTTATGTCGCAAAAACATTATATGTATTTTATTCTAAATTGTTATGTAATATTTGGGTTTCAGCAAGACTCCTTCACTCTAGTCCTGATGTTACAAACTTGTTTTTTTTGTCTACATTCTAGAATTGGTAAAACTGTGTAAATAAAATTTATATTTTTATATTGTTAAAACATAAAAAGTATTAATATTTATCAGTCGACTTTTAAATAATCTCAGGCGAAAGTGCCGCCGTGACGAATAATATGACTGCTTCGTGGAATGAAACTACACTTCCAACATTGGTTTCGAATTACAAACTTGAAAACATTTTCAATGCCGATGAGTTTGGACTATTTTACCAGTGCCTACCAAACAACACTATTTTTATTTTACATTAAATATGTAAAATAAAAATAGTGTTTTACCTATTTTATATTAAACACCTACCATTTATCACGAGAAAAATGTTTTGGGGGAAAAAATAGTAAAGTTAGACTATAAGGCATAGCAGCAGGGAGTGCAACGGGAGAAAAATTACCTATGTTTGTTATTGAAAAATCTAAAAACCCACGGTGTTTTAAGCACATTAAATAACTTCCTTGCACATATAAAAATCAGCTAAAAAGTTGGATGACCGGAGACCTTTTTACAGAATGGGTAATAAAACTTGACTCATTTCTTCGTGCTCAAGACAGGAAAGTAGCACTCCTGGTGGATAATTGTTCTGCGCACCCACACATTGAAGGGCTAAGCAACATCAACCTAATCTGTTTTTCAGCCCATGGATCAAGGCGTAATACGAAGTCTTAAAGCTCATTATCGTCACAAAATTGTGCGTTTGTGTATTAAGGCTGTCGATAATAATGAACCCATGCCAAAAAATTCTATACTTCAAGCAATGAAAGATCTTATTTCTTCGTGGAATACTGTGTCGAAGGAGACTGTCATCAACTGCTTTAAAAAAGCTGGTATCAGCAAAACAAACAAGAGTATTGAAGAAGCTGATGATGATCATCCTTTTAAATTTTTGACAGAAGAACTTAACCGTTTGCGAGAGTTAGATCCTCGTGCCGTCCAAAAAGATCTCTCAGCGGAATCTTACATTGGTTTTGATTGCGATGTAGTAACCACCGGTTCACTTGCTACTGATGCTGAAATCATTGATCATGTTTTAGACCCTAATTTTGAAAACGACGATAATGAAGTTGAAGATAGCGTTGACGAAGCTCGAAGCTACTGACGTCGAAGCCCTGCCACGCCCATCTGATATTCAATTAGAAATTGTTTTTGAACAATTTAAAATGTTTCGCTATACAGCTCAAAATACGTAAATGAATTACAATCCCTAGCACTAAAACTTGAGGGTTTAATGAATATGGAAAAAATGGATAATTTAAAGCAATATCAGATAACAGATTTTTTCCAAAGGTTGTAGTTTTTGTTGTTAATGATTTTTGTTGTTAATGTTCTGTAGTTTTTGTTGTTAATGATTTTTGTCAGAAAAATAACTTGTTTTAATGAAAGTCGGGCAATTTTATTTATTTTCAAACTTTTTCTTGATATCTTGAACTCTCGATATCTCAAACTTTTTTTCCAGTCCCCTTAGTGTTCGAGATATCAAGAGTCGGCTGTATTAAAATACTCAATGTGGTAATCATGGAAAAAATTTAATAAAGTTATTACTTTTTCTACTTTATATTTGTTAAAGTAATAAAATGTGGTTGTTAAGCAATTTAGGTACCCATCGCAACCCACAGTTAAAAATAATTTCACCAAAAAAAATAAAAATAAATAAAACCGCAATCCTCAAATTAGTCAACAGTGCAAAAATACTTCTTAAATCTTTTTCATATAGATAGAAATTAATTTTGTCCAGTAAAAGTGATTTCTGGTCCACTGTACAATATACCTAAACCCTGTATGTCCGCGTTAGCGAACACGAATGACGCTCAACGTATAGGGGTTTGACAAGAGAGCATACCGTTATGATGCATTTAGTATAAACAAGTACCGCAAACGGAATTTCTTCAGCTAAAATTACCGTTAATGACGTGTTATACTTCAATCAAAATAGTTTGATACATTATATCAAAAAAGTTTAAAGTTAAAACCTTTGTCTACAAAATCATTATTTATATAACTGGTAAATAATAATTGGGCCCAGACTATACTATAGACCAACATTACCCCACCCTATTCTACAATTATTATAAAAAAGCTAAGACAAATTAAATTTTTTTTTACAAGTATACCATATACAAAAAGTTTATGCAAATTATTACGTATCAAATTGATAAAAATACATTATATAATATTGATAAAAACTTTTATATAAATTTTGGTATAATTATTTATTTTCCAAACTATAATACCTAAAAAAAAGGAAATTAAAGAATATTCAGGGTATAAAATTCCAAAAAAATCTTTTTGCTAATTCCCTAAACAGCGCCATTTGGTGTATATCTATGTCTATATAAAAAGTTAATTTAATTAAATTTAGTTATAATTTTTTTGTAATTACCTTTGTAATTACTATTTCTACTATTATTTCTTATTTCATTTATTTTTTATTTATAGAATTATATGATCGGTAATTTTAAATTAAATTGCTTTGAATTCCAATTTAGTGTGATGAAATTGAAATTTTTTTAATTTTTTAAGTTCTATGTTTTTAAGAATTACTTTATTATATTGGTAGGGGGTAAGAATTAGAGAAACATTTTTTTTTTTTATAGACAAAATAAATTTTATTGGTTTAACTCTTGAGACTATTATTTATTTTTTTGTTCTTGTTAATATTTTGATATTTGTGTTAATATTTTTGTTCTTGTTAATATTTTGATATTTATGTTAATATTTTTGTTCTTGTTAATATTTTGATATTTATGTTAATATTTTTGTTCTTGTTAATATTTTGATATTTATGTTAATATTTTTGTTCTTGTTAATATTTTGATATTTATGTTAATATTTTTGTTCTTGTTAATATTTTGATATTTATGTTAATATTTTTGTTCTTGTTAATATTTTGATATTTATGTTAATATTTTTGTTCTTGTTAATATTTTGATATTTATGTTAATATTTTTGTTCCTGTTAATATTTTGATATTTATGTTAATATTTTTGTTCTTGTTAATATTTTGATATTTATTGTACTTATTTGAGTCTTCTACGAAATGTTTTTGTCAATCAATATTCTAATAAATATGTCTGATTTGAAAAACATAAAGCATTTAAGAAGGAGGGCGGAAGGGGGGGGGGCACAGGGACATGTGCAACCCCCTACTTTTTCTAAAGGCCATTTTTTAAAAAAAATCTTGATATAGAGGACTTTTTTCACAAATTGATGACTGAGTCCCCCTCCCCCCCACTTCAAAACCCATGTCGTCGGCCCTGTGACCTCCCCCTCCTCCTTGTCAACAATTATCAATAAAGTTCAGATCCCCTACCCCTATTTTGTTGACGTAACTTATGGACAGCCCGCAAATAGATCAGCTAAATGAAAATTTCGTATGATGTTTTTAGTAAATCTCTAAAAAAAAATTATTAAAAGTGTATAAAAGTAAAAACTAACCTAAAGTAATACCAAATGAATAATAAATAAATACCAAATGAATACCAAATGAAAAAAAAAAAAAGTTTTGAATAGAAACTTCCCCGGGAAAAAACTTGTTATATTCTTTGTAAACATTTAAACTTAAGTTTTACTTTTATTCTTCAAATTTTATTTAACTTCTTTTATTCAAATTAAACATTTTTTAAACTTGTTTTTTTAATTGGGAAATGATCATTATGATGATATTAGAAATTTATAATAAACATACTGTTTTTTTGTTCTAAACACCTGCTTTGGAAAACCACCTTAATTAAAACCGATAATTATAATATTTTTACAACATTTACAAAAACAAAAATCTACCGTTTGTTACCTAAGGTACCTGTGTTTTAACTATATTTTAACAATTACTATATGTTGTGAAAACCTTTTATTTATTTACTTTTTAAACAATAATTTTTTTAAATTTCCACTGTTGAGCTCTTTGAAAAAATATAACTTCACTTGAATCTTTGAAATCTTCATCGGGTATCAAAAGTACTTTTGTATATTGTTGTTTATAATTGCATGGCAAATACCGCCTTCTTTTGTTTATAAATGACTTTGGGAAAGCTGAAAATGTTTTACGAGAAAAGACTTTCTTGAGTTTTCTTAAGTTCGAAAATGTTCGAAATACTTGTTTTCGGTATACAGTTAGCATGTGTGAATAAATAAATACATTAGCACAGCTATTCGCTGTATGAGCAACTTTTAGCCAAGAATTTATTTCTCTTAAAGTATCAGACGACTCTTTGCAATTTTTTGTTTTAAAACATAATATGTTGTAATACAAATAAAACAACTCTCTTGGGAAAACGAGCAAAATAAATACCACTCCCATTGTAAGTAAAATAATCATTATTTTTTTTAACTTTTGAAAACGTTCTTCTTGATTTTCTTTGCGTGTTAAATTTACGTTGCATTTTTTTAAAACTTGAAATATTTTTATGTTAGTAAAACTAAATACCGTTGCAAATATAGACAAACGTAAAATTATAATAACGCAGTTTGGTATTCCAAAACTATATACAGATGCATCTGGAAAAATGCATATATTTGATTTTGGATCAAAGTTTAGTGCAAAAGCGTAGTGGGAATAAACAATGATTGACAAAAAAATGTCTATAATAAAGGCTATAGTTACTTTCTTGTGTGTTAACTTTTGACGAAATGGAGTCACCACTGCTAAATATCGATCGATTGCAAATATAAGGAGCAAACCAGATGAAATGGATGTCATTATTGGACCAAGAGATGGAATAATTTGACAACCAATTTTACCAAAATGCCATCGACGATAACCAATTATTGTTATATATATAAAAAAAGATGGGTTAAGAAACGAAGACAGTAAATCTATTATCCCCAAATAAAGAGTTAGCAACTCTGTTGTTGAACGGTGATTTGACTTGATTTTAACCCCAAATGTATAAATGACAAAAGCATTTCCAACTACTCCTGTAATTAATATTAGCGTAAATGCGGTAATTAGAAGCTGTTGTGAAGTTATGTTTTCAATGGTTGAAGGTCTAGATGTAGAGACTTCAGTAAAATTAGTTATCATGATCACCTTCAGTGTTACTTTGTTTAAATTTTCTATTTATAACAATGAAATAACAAATATATATGTATACATATGTATATATATATATATATATATATATATATATATATATATATATATATATATATATATATATATATATATAATAAATAAAAATTAACAGTTTTGAAAATAAATTTTAGACACATTCCTTAAAAAAAAAGTTCAACTAAACTACATTTATTAAAGTAATTGCCTAAGTAGTTGCACAGAGCAGGCGATTTCCAGTAATATCTTAGTTTTGAATTTTTTGATTTGCATTTTCTTATAAAAAAAATTATTTTTTTATTTAATTATTTATTTATTTCCTCCTATATTTTGTTTCTTAAGAAACAAAGGAGGAAATAAATAAAAAACATATAATTTTTATAAAGATGTGCCTAATCTACTTTTTCACAGGCAATATGTAAAACGCTTCAATTAGTAATAAGGCTCAAAAAAGTAATATTAAAAAAAAGTGTGTGTGTTTTTAACTTAAGTTTACTATTCAAATAAACTTAATAAAATTGTGCGAAGTATAGAGTACCACTCTAGCCAGTGCAACACAGCTGCTAATTTACTAGATCCTATTATAGAAGGAGACACGCAATATTCAATTTGTTTATAGGGGTCATCCATAAATTACTACGTCACGCTCAGGGCAGGGGGGAAGGGGAGTTGTAAGATGATTTGTTACAAGAGGGAGGGGGTCTTGATTTTGTGACGCAACATTTTTTTTGTTTTGTTTTAGAGAAGACGTTTTTATAACTAAAAGAGTATCTAACCAAACCCCTCAGTTGATACATTTACATGTTGATTGTAAAAATGACTACGCCTAAATCTTACTTAGTCGATGTGTACACTCCGTTACAGCCTGTTACAGCCGTTTGTGCAGTGCACGTTCTGCGCTTTGATTTTATATGGTTCAAGTGCAGAACTTAATTTTGTTGGTACAAAAAAGTGTGCATCAACAAAAAAACAGTCTTTGTGCAATAACTAAAAAAAAAAACTTTTTAATACCAAAAACGAACCTGGAAACCTCGGTCTACTAGCCAGAGGTAGAATCCACTCGACCACGCTTACGTTGCCAGATAAAATAAAATTGTATTTATAAATTGATATTTTTGCATGTATAATATGTTATTATTTGTTATATATATACATAATATTTTGCATGTATTATATTTCGGAAAAATAGATTCTTAAAATTGGAATCATGTTTAGGAGAGCGATGTTAATTTATACAATTTTACACGGAACTATTGGGGTGAAAAAAAAAACATTAAGCATACAGAAAAGTACTAATTAATTAACTGAAATAAGCTCAGAGAATTGTAGACATTATTATATTTAAAATCGTTTTGTATTTTGTAAAATTTTCCACCCTCTCCCATCCTCTCTAAAAAAACTTTTAAAAAAATTTTTAGAGGGAGGAGGAGGGGGTACAAAAATGTTGCGTAGTATTGGGGGGGGGGGTCAATAAATTATTACAGATACGTTACGAGGGGGAGGGAGGAGGTCAAAAAATGTCAAAAACTGCGTGAGGTAATTTATGGACGACCCCATAATAAGAACAAAAACATTTAATATATAAAAGAAAACAAATAAAAGACAATAAAAATGTCACTAAAAATTTTTTGAAACATAACTTAAGGATCATAAATTATCACTTTCTGATCACAGTCGTCAATTTCTGAAAAAAGGTCATTTGTATCTTAAAATTTCTGAAACAATTAACGTCATGAGCACGTGCCATCCATACCCCCGTAGCGTTTTCGGCCCTGATCTTAACGTAAATTAAATACAACCACGTGCAGTACACGTAATTGAAATTTAATCTAATTACATGCAATTTACATTCAACTTAGCGTATGTATGCGCATGTAAATAAAATTAAATTCAAAATTAATGAAATGCATTATTGAAAATTACATCGGTTGTGTTTAAATATACAACAAAAAGATTTCCGATTACTCCTGAATTCAAAATTAGCCCAAACGCAGCCAATAAGAAAAGGTTTTCTAAAATAATGTTTTTCTAATGTTCAGCCTGATTACTTTATGAAGTTTTGAATTTCTGTAATATTGAACATCATATAAATTGTCAATCATCTCTTTCATAGTTAACATCAGGTAAAATCACTTAGAGATTTACTTAGGGATCGTCCACAAATTAAGTAACGCAAGCTTTCACAACAAACAAAACAAAAAAGATCAAAAGTTTTCCCTCGCAGAGTCTTAATTAAAAAAAAATAATTAAAATAACCTATTAAGTTCAATGAAAATCACTGCGTAAAAGAGCTTAATATCCTATAAATCCTACTCCCGTTTTTAAAATATATTTTACGTTGCCTAATTTATGAATGGTCCCTTATAACACTGAGACTATTTATTAAAATTTACAATTTATAAAAGTTTCTCATAAAAACAAAATTTTTATTTAAATAAATATTTGCTTAAATCACACAAATAGCAAAACTGAATTATTAATTAACAATGTAGAATCAACAGGGCCTCCGAGAGTTCTCAAGCCGCCTGGGAAAGCAACCCAGATTGGCGCCCTTATTTATAAAATTTCACTATATTGTAGATCTTCTTCTTTTTTTTTTTTAGATTCATTTTTTTTATTTGGCGCCCTTTAGATATCTGCAGCCCGGGACAACTGAGAATCAATATAGAGTTTTGTTAAAAAAAAAAATTTGTTTTTTAATAGAGCTGATTTGATATTTTTGTCAAAATCTGTTTTTCCTATGATTAGTGTTCTTTGATGATTTGACACTTTGATTAGTGTTCATCAGTTTATTTTAAAAGATTGTTTGAATGTCATCTTCTTATACAAATAAAGCCAGCTGAGAATTTTTGTTTTTTATTAAAAGAGCAAATGCAACTTAAATAATAAAAAAAAATCTTTTTTAAAAAAAAACTTTTCCCCATGCTATAAAAAACTAACTTTTTGCCACAGTTATTGGTGTCATGATTCACATTGTATTTTTTTTAAATATAATAAATATGGTTTATATAGTATATTTTTAAAGTATATGTTTTGTCATGATGGAGGATCATGATATTCCTAGTCCAAAAAAAAAAGGAAAAAATTTAGTACAAACTCACTTAAGATTAAAAAAACTCGTTTAATTGGACTATCATAAGGAAAATGAAATTCAGAATTTCATAATCATAAGGAAAATGAAATTCCACCAAAGTAGCCTTAAACAACATTAAATACAGTAAAAAAATATACAACTACAAAAAATTTATTAGACGATTGCCTGGTAAAAAAAAAATTGGTATATGTAGAAACCAACACACACAAAAATTCTTTATGTTAGGTAAACTCAGGGCAAAATTGAAATTTGTAAGTAATTTAATAAAAAATTTCTAACAATTTTCAGTAAAACAAAAAATGGTTTTTGTAAGTAATAATTCTAATCAATTATAATTAAAAAGTTTGTTTTTAAACTAACAAAATTATACTTAAGTAAGATAAAAAAAAACAAAAACTAACTACTAATTGCAAAGATCTCCCTAGTCTCCCTTACAGCCAAATGTTTTATTGGCCCTAAATACAAAATTCCAAAAGCAGCTAAGCTAAATAAAATAAGGTAAAGTTCCATTTTTTAATACATTTAGATCCTTTTAAATGAATGTTGCCATTAAATAAATATTGAAAAGTAATATATAATAGCATAATTCAAAATATCTGGGCTGCAAAATATCTGGACTAGGTATTTTGTTTAGCTTACATCTAGCTTATACTTTACTTATATCTAGTATTTCTTGCTCCAGCTCAAAAAAGTTTACTGTGAAAGAAATAGTAAATGTAACTGAATTGGAGCATCAAACATTACAAAATTTTTTTGTGTTTCTGCAGAAGCTAAGGGTAAAAACACCCCAAAAGAAAGGTTCACTTTTCTATTAATAACCTATTTCATTTTATAAATGATCATGATAAAAAACCGTTTATCAAGGCATTCACCAATATAAATAACTTGGTCAGTCATACTTTAATTATGGCTAAACATACTGGTGCTGTACCACAGGTGAATAGTTTGAGATGTCCAAGTAGCAAAGTTACTCTTAAAAAAGGTATTGGAAAAAAGGTGAAAGTGGAAAACCTTACCAAATTAAAAAAATTGATTTTTGAAAAATTTATAAAACTGTTCTGACAACCACTAATTGCAATGATCTTACTAGTGACTGAAGACAAACTTTTTGAAATTTCAAACATTAATTTTTAACTAAAAAAAATGTTATAGAAATTATCAAGGAGCACTAAGATTTTAATCTTGCATGCATATTTTAGAAATATATTATAAAAGCCCTGTATATTTATTAGAAATAAATATAAAGTGTTTTTTTTAATTATCTTAAAAATGGCTCTTGAGCAAATACGCCTTTTTAAAAAACACCGATACAATTAAGGTCTGGAGAAATCAAGCTCATATTTACTTGGTACATTTACCCAAAAGGTCTTGCGCAAAAGGCCAGCTATGTGATAAGACCGTTACAAATATATTATTGTAAAAAAAAGTTACAATAATTGTAAAGTTTAATGAAGAAGGAATTAGCAAAATCTTCAAGAAAACAGTTTTCGTTTTTTACTGTTCAAGGAATTTAAACTTGTTTAAAAAACTAAGAACTTTTGTTAACTCTTTGTTAGGCTTCTTTCGAAAACTTTTTTCTTCAGATTTCTTAGTGAGACTAAAAGCTATAGTTTAGACACTCAAAACTATTATCTAAAATAGCCTTTCTATAAAAAAGACTGTATATGAAACTTTTTTAAACATGCTTGATTTTAAACATGCACCCTCCCCAATCGCAACCTCCCTAAAATAATTGAGTTGTAAATTTCACATGGTCATAACTTTCCAACACAAGAATATAATGAACCAACTCAGAATGTAATCAACCTACTCAAAATATAATGAACCAAATCAGATTGATAATTAACGAACCAAATCAGGTAAAACCTATCCCTAGCTCTAACTCTAATCTTGTGCGGCTGTGGCGCATTGGTTAGAGAGCTTGCTTTATAAGCAAGAGATTCAGTGTTCGAAGCGAGCTCTTCAGAGGCTTGAACTTCCTTTTAAATGCTTAGTGGCAAGAACGTAAGGTTTCCTTTGGGCACCTAAAATATAAATAATAAAAAAAAAATTAATGAACCAACTCAAAATATAATGAAATAACTCATAATATAATGACTAATCAGAATACAATGAATCAACTGTATTTATATGCCAGAGAAAAATCTTTATTTAATTCTCGATTGTGAAATGTCTAAAAATTCATATTAGAATATAGCGTTTAAAATAAAGGGCCGTTTCTATGATTAGACGTGGTTAGGCAGCTGTCTAGGACAGCAAGATTTTTAGAGTAACAAGTTTTAAAATCATTTTTTTGAATAGTAAAATGACTTATTTTTAAATTTTTTAAAATTTGCTCCAAGAAGACCAAGTGGTCTTATCACAGATAGGGACCGGCAAAGTCGACTTTTTAAGACTCGAGGTTATAAAAAAGACGAATTTAGATTATATGCGTATACCGAATTTAATTAAAAGCCGAATTTGGATTTTAAAAACACATTTAATTAAAAAAAAATTTTTTATAAGTTTAAATTTTTTTTTTTTTTTTTTTTTTTTTTGCTTCAAATTTTCCGAGATCTAAAGATTTTTCCACGGAGTCAGAAAAGTATTAAATTAGAAAGTTCAAACCTTTTTTCTTAGGAGTGGTGTTAAATATTATTAGGTCCATTGTTTCTGGAGCAAGCGCTCTAACCACTGCGCAGCGGTTGCTGTATAATCATTTTTTATATGCTAAAGTTATTATTTTTTAGCTTGTAATTAACCATAATTTAAAATTTAATAGAAACAAGTGAAGCCAAGTAAATTTTGATTTATTAAAAAAGTATACGATTACAAAAAACATTTTGCGTCAAAATAAAATTTATTTCTCTCTCTCTCTCTCTCTCTCTCTCTCTCTCTCTCTATATATATATATATATATATATATATATATATATATATATATATATATATATATATATATATATATATATATATATATATATATATGTATATATATATATATATCTATATATATATATATATATATATATATATATATATATATATATATATATATATATATCTGTATACATATATATATATATATATATATATATATATATATATATATATATATATATATATATATATATATATATATATCTATATATATATATATGTCTATATATATATATATATATATATATATATATATATATATATATATATATATATCTATATATATATATATATATATATATATATATATATATATATATATATATATATATATATATATATATATATATATATATATATATATATATATATATATATATATATATATATTTAGGGCAAGGAACTACCATGGGGATGGAATTATATATATATATATAATTCCATCCCCAGGGTAATTCCTTGCCCTAAAAAGATATGGAGCAAAACAAATAATCTAAAAAACTTGAACCACCTTTAACTCATGTTTTGTATTGCCAACTTCCTGTTTCTTAAAAAGTATAAGCTACCTGAATCCATACTGCTTGAGAAATTTGCTTAAAAGTCTTTTTTGGAAATCCAAAGTCATCTTCAATGTAGGAACTACATATGTACTTTGAAATATATTAAAAAAAATATTTTCATTGCTTTTATTTCATCATTTTTTTTTGGATGTGTTTATTTTTGTATTTTTATTTTGTTTTACAAGTGCATTTAAGCTCAACTAAACATTAAATTTGTATAAACATATCATAAATGAATTGGTACCTCTGAGAAATTCCACCCCCCGTTTCCTAGATGGTAAAATTGATGTTGTAAATGTGATTGATCCTAAAGCTTGCGATCTGAGTGTTAGTGTGACCTCTGTGATGAGTGGTGCTGCTTAAAATGCTCACAACTATCATTATTTATTATGTTTACATTTCATGTAAAAATTCATACTAAAATTAATTAAAAAAGCATTTAAATATTTTTTTGAAAAGGGGTGGAATTGCCCCAATTTTATACATATGTAAAATTTTCAAAAAACGTTTTTTTTTGTTTAGTTTTTTTTTTTTGGTTAAAATTTTGATTTTATAACATAATATATTTTAACAGTTTGCTTAAATATGTAAAGGAATTCTTCTACTATTTTCTTGTTTTTAACATTGTATAGTGCTTTTTGAGCATTCTTAAGAAGTAGGAGGGAGGAGGGGGGAAAACTACCATAGTTTACCCTACTAATAAACAATGTTAATATAAAAGTTATTTGAGCTTATTGCTTATAGAAAACTATCTTTAACATATAAAACACATAAATAAAATGCAAAAAATCCCGCTATTTTTGCAAATATTCTACGATGTCATATTATTACGCAATTTAACTAACATAGCAAGTAACATAACGGTAAAACATAACGGCTTTTATTTAAAAACAAATTTACAAATAATGATGGGAAACATAACGCCTAAGACGTATTTTTTACTAACATATCGGTAAACAACGCTAAATTTTTCACTGTTAGCATTATATTGTTTACAGTGTACTAAACATCTTACCTTATTTATCAAATTTTGAGTCACTTCAAAAATTGATTTGAAGTTGTTACAATGTTATTTTCAAACAAACTGAAGGAATTTTTTTTTAATCTTATTCAACTTCTGAATGATAATAAAAACATTTTTACATTTTAAAAACAATTGTAACTTTTCTGTGTGTAAATGTACTCTACACTTTTTACATTTTGCTACTTTTAAACGTTTGGATGCAGGTAATTGTTCTTTATTATTGTTCTGCTGTATAAAAAAGGTTTAAAAATTGCTAAACTTTGTTCTAAGTTTAAAAATTGTAGCTTTTTATTCACAATTTTGTTTGGGAAATTTGATTATATTTTCTTCGGTAATACATTTTCTCCCAAGTTTTGTCATAATGCACTGATTCAGTTTCTTAACATCCGGTTGATTTCTGGCTTAAAAAGTTACTTCAACTTGATCTAAATTTTTGCAACGCTCAGCACATGCTTGATACCTATCAAAACTCGAAGCTGGCGTAGAGTTTTTATTTTTCAATGAGAAAGATAGTATGTCGGTCTGTAGTTGGAGTAGGTGCTGCGACAGCTGTTGAAGACGATGAAGCTGTGTCTGAGAAAAATGGTGTAGGTGTTACAGATTCTGCTACAATTGATCATGGGGGATTAGACGTTTGCGTGTTTGCTAATGCCTTATGATTTATATTGTTTTTATAAAGTGGAAATAAGCCAATGTACTGAAAATTAGCGATTACAATTGAGCAGCCGTGGTGCAGTGGAAGCGCACTTGCCTCAGATACAAAGGATCAGTGGTTCAAACCACATCTCTGAGCAAGTTTTTCGAGATCGGTTAGGAAGGAGGCGTAAACTTCCAATTGAATGCTCATCCGCGGTGCTCTGTGATAAGACGGTAAGGACTTCTTGGGGCACCTAAATGAAATAAAATAAAAATGGAGTGCAAGCGTGTAAAACCTTTACCACTCATACAGCAGTTTAAGCAACACCAGTTTGCTCTTTTTTTTTTATTTAGGTGCCCCAAGAAGACCTAACGGTCTTGTCGCAGAGCACCGCGGAAGTGCATTTAACCAGGAAGTTCACGCCTCCTTCCTTACCGTGACGCGAAATATGCCCAAAGCTAGGTTCAAACCTGGATCTCCTGCTTATAAAGCAAACGCTCTAACCACTGCGCCACAGCCGCGTTTCAGGTATAAATTCTTCTTTCAGTCATCGAATAAACGTTGTCTACTTTTCTTGTTGAAATTTCTTTTGACCATCTCTTCATGAAGACATATAACCACTCTTTGTTAGGCTTGCCATTTTTAAATAAATGCAAATGATCTTCGCATTTAAGATAGCTAGTTATAAACTCAAGGATTTCATTTCGAGTTTATCCATTACCCCAGTCAACAAGTGATTGAAACGCATGCATCGTCATTCTTTCTGTTTTATTTGAGAATACCGTTGTTGTACCTAATCCATGGAAGCTTTTCCTGTTGTTATTTTTGCCATGTTTGAGTGTTGAGATTGGAAAGTCATGTTTGAAAGCAGCTCTTCTAAGTGACGTATTGTTTTCTTTTATATCAGTTAATGCAGCTAGTATATCATCTTCGATGTACGCTTTTTTTTTAGTTGACATTTTAAAGTAAGTGGGTTGAGTTGATTCGAGTGGTGATGATTATATTGAGAAATAACAAAACAATTGATTTTTAATGAGTAAGTGATGATTATATTGACAAATAACATAGAAATTTATTTTTAATTAAACTATTAAATTAAAATTAATACTAAGTTAATTAGATAAAGATAGGCGCTTAGTCTGACTTACGTAATACTCGGTTTAGTTAAGGCAATTTTAAAATAATATAGCGTCTGTATGATATTTTGTTGACTACGACATATTTCCGCGAAATGATCACTCGGTGTACTTATAATTGTATACAGCTATATGTAGTTAATAAATTTCAGAATCAATTAGAACTAGGATCTATAGTAAATGTTAACGCCGATGATCTAAAAACTCCAAAATGGTGTTCTTTAGATTCACTATTACGGGTTGTAAAAAGGTTTTGAAAATTATATAAAAAAAAGAAAAATTTCTTTAAATATTAAAAAAAACCTATTAACAAAAAAAAAATTATAACATCTAAAACTCTTGTTTGCACATAATACGCTGATAAAATCAAGCTAATTTCAAATAAAAGAATTCTAATAATTTGTAAATCGCCTTAACTACACCGAGCAACGAAAAATTAAACTAAGTAATTATTCGAGGGTGCCTTATTATCAGAAAAGAGTATTTTTTTTACCTTTTTGATTTTTTACTTAACTTTTTGTTCTAGCTGCATACAAATTATACTATCAGAACGGATATTAAAATTCCAACAAGATAGTGCTAAAATTATTAAGGTCAAGTCGGTTTAAGCGCTATTTTGTTTGTAACGGTAAGAAATATGTAAAACATTTTATCCCGTTAAATTTGCATAAAAAAAAGAAAAAAAATAGAGTTAAATCGGTAT